AGATGGAAAACTAGCTTTTGATATCAATCAAACCAGTGGTGCATCATGTTAGCTCATGCATATTGATGTGCCTGAACCAGTGGTTCCAGATTATTGTCCAACCTGAAATATTTCAATGCATTTTGACCAATTGTTGTGTATCTTTCACCGATAGTTTTTTCCATGACTTACATGTATGCCATGTTACTGTGATATCTAAAATGTGAGAGTGACTAACGAAATCAATGGGGGCCCCCTGGAGATCAGGTACCCTGGGCACAGCCGGGTCGATAATTTGGCCAGGATTACTACAAATTTAGCTAGCTGGCTAGACTACCTAGACTAATATACATACCAACCTAAAACATTTTAACTGACATGGGTTAATTGATGCACAACCAAGTTTCGAAATTGCATCTTGTGAATTCTGCTATTCTAACTCTCAACAGTAAAGTTCCTGTGAGTAAGCACTTCACTGTTATTCTACACCTGTTGTTTACGAAGCATGGGACAAATACAATTCTATTTGATTTGAAGTTGAGAACCCGACTGAGTTTCGATTTGTAAAAAAGCATTATTTTCTTTTTAATTTCGAAAATATTACCGAGGTCTGGACCTCGGTGTCCTCATATGTAGCTACGGCCCTGGTTGCAATTTGTAATGCTATTCCCATAGATACAATTGCATTTTCTGTTTGTGAATACAGTACATATCTCCTTGACCACTTGTTATCTTTTTTTTTTTTTTTATCTACAGAACAGCTTCAACTGTTGACCCCTGCTTTCAACATGCCTTACTCTGCACATTGTTTCGGGACCAAATTCCTTGGGCGCCTTAAAAGCCCCATCTGTAGCTCCAATGCTGAGCAAGATGACCACCATCTGCCCAAAATTGAGCCCTTTGGGGAGGCTGTGGCAGTGCCCCGTGGACCCTCCAGTGATGGTACAAGAAAAATAGAATAAGTGTTGGGAGTGTGTGTGTGTGCGAGTGTGCGAGAGAAAAAACAACTAGTTAATTCTCTGTAATCAGTAAGTAAGTGATTAAATCATATTAAATCTGTGTAATCAGATTAAAATACCCCCCAAAAAATTTGCAGCACCATTTCTTACCCGAGTCCTTGGGCTTCTATGATAAATGACAATCAACACACATTACACAGCAAATTCTTCAGTGTTAAAAAAAAGTGTTGAATCAACACTGAAACCATTGAGTCTGTGGACCCATATAGGCACCGGAAAAGTGTTCAATTAAGAAACTGCTTAGTGTAAAGTCTTATTCAAACCTTTCCTAGAGTGCCTTGCCTTCTGAGTAAACTGTGGAGTCACCACCCATGACTGCTTTGTTAGTGACAGATACATGGTTGTTGCATTCATCCACCAAGTGAGATCCTAAGTGAATATACATACACACACACACACACACACACACACACACACACACACACACACACACATACACTACCAGTCAAAAGTTTGGACACACCTACTCATTCAAGTTTTTTTTTTTAGAATAATAAAAGACATCAAATATGGAATAATGTAGTAACCAAAAACTGTTAAACAAATTAGATTTTAGATTCTTCAAAGTAGGCACCCTTTGCCTTGATGACAGCTTTGCACTCTCTTGGCATTCTCTCAACCAGCTTCATGAGGAATGCTTTTCCAACAGTCTTGAAGGAGTTCCTACATATGCTGAGCACTTGTTGGCTGCTTTTCCTTCACTCTGTGGTCCAACTCATCCCAAACCATCTCAATTGGTTTGAGGTCGGGTGATTGTGGAGGCCTGGTCATCTGATGCAGGACTCCATCACTCTCCTTCTTGGTCAAATAGCCCTTACACAGCCTGGAGGTGTGTTGGGTCATTGTCCTGTTAAATGAAATGATAGTCCCATTAAGCGCAAACCTTGAATTCTAAATAAATCAGTGTCACCAGCAAAGCACCCCCACACCATCACACCTCCTCCATGCTTCACGATGGGAACCACACATGCAGAGATAATCCGTTCACCTACTCTGCGTCTCACAAAGACACGGTGGTTGGAACCAAAAATCTCATATTTGGACTCATCAGACCAAAGGACAGATTTCCACCGGTCTAATGTCCATTGCTTGTGTTTCTTGGCCCAAGCAAGTATCTTCTTATTATTGGTGTCCTTTAAAAGTGGTTTCTTTGTAGCAATTCGACCATGAAGGCCTGATTCATGCAGTCTCCTCTGAACAGTTGATGTTGAGTTGTGACTGTCATTTCTCTGCTTATTTGAGCTGTTTTTGCCATAATATGGATTTGGTCTTTTACCAAAACAGGGCTATCTTCTGTATACCACCCCTACCTTGTCACAACACAACTGATTGGCTCAAACGCATTAAGGAGGAAAGAAATTCCATAAATTAACTTTTAAGAAGGCACACCTGTTAACTGAAATGCATTCCAGGTGACTACCTCATGAAGCTTGTTGAGAGAATGCCAAGAGTGTGCAAAGCTGTCATCAAGGCAAAGGGTGGCTATTTGAAGAATCTCAAATATATTTTGATTTGTTTAACACATTTTTTGGTTACTACATGATTCCATATGTGTTATTTCATAGTTTTGATGCCTTCACTATTATTCTACAATGTAAAAATAGTCAAAATAATGAAAAATCCTTGAATGAGTAGGTGTGTCCAAACTTTTGACTGGTACTGTAAATAAAGCAATACCATATGTATTTCAAAAGGCCTTATTTTGAGGGCATTGTTTTATCCTAATACAGGGCCCTGAAACTCATACCCACTCATAACCAAAACCATGCCCATCATTATCATATTTCCCAGCATGCTCTATTGCAAGCAGATTTTTTAAATTGTTTGTTTCAGTATCTATGTTTGTGCATGATTGATTGATTAATTCATTATTCTTATGCTACTCAAATATAAAATTACAAACATTTTCTAAACTAATCCAATATGTTACTTGGATTTATTGCACCCGTTACTGAAATGGTTGTTCCAGTTTAGATGGTTTAGGTAGTCTCATCTATTATGGAAGTCATTCTGAATACTGGTTGTTGTTGATAAAAATTCAATAAGTTGGAAATCCCCACACTGGCTGGATTTCAATAGGAATTACACATCACCTTGCAAGTCAGCATAATGTGATTTGCATGCCTGATATGGCCTGTAGACTAATGATGTTACATTCAGGCATATGTTGAAATTGCAAAGCAGTGTACTTAGAAGCAGTGTGCCGATGCCTGTATCATTTTATCCGAAAAACGTGATCAGTGATGTCCGAAGCTTTGTTTTGTCAAATAACCACCTGACATGGCTGCACTGTGCAAGCGCTACGGCGCCACTAGCGTACACTGTGTTGATCAAAGCCTTGAGTAATGAACGTATTTTAGACACAATTGGCTTGAAAGGCTCAATGCTTCAATAAGCTTCGTTTCCCCATCACTACTTTAAACCATGAGTTTCAAATTTAGATTTGTTCTTTAGGGAGGTACAAACACTTGTCACAGTAGTGGTATCCTGTAAGGTCATCCTTTGTACCTTTAGTTATAAGTGCATTATTGTATCCCAGTTCATACCTCAGGCCACATTGGGCTAGCAAGTAGGGTTTCAAAATTCCTGTTAATTTCCCCAAATTCCAACATTGTCCAAAAACCGTGGTTGAAGGATTTAGGATTTTCTGCTTCCGTTTCAAGGAAACTTCCAACCAGGGTTTCTGGAAAACCTGGGAATTTTGGAAAGGTTACCAGAATGTTGCAACCCTACCTGCAAGTCACATTATGCTGGCTTGCAAAGTGATGTGTAATTTTTTATTGGAATCCAGCCAGAGTTGAAATAAGCAACAGTTGGAATGTTTTATTCACCTACAACCTGCATTCAGAATGAGTGCCAGGGTTAGGAACATTGTGTGGAGACTACCTAAAACATTTAAACTGCAACAAACATTTCTGTAACGAGAGCAAAAAATGTGAATGAACTGATAGGATTAGTTTAGAAAACTGTATGTTATTTATCTTTGTGTACCATAAGATTATCAATGTACATGCACAAACGTAGATATTAAAACAAACAATTCAAAAAAATCTACCTGCAATAGCGCATGCTGGGAAATTATAGATGACATCCCACATGCCGTAGGGCAGCGTTTTCCAAACTCAGTCCTAAGGAACCCAAGTGCACGTTTTGGTTTTTGCCTTATCAAAATCATCATGCTTTGATTATTTGAATAATCTGTGTGGTGCTGAGGCAAAAACTAAAATGTGGGAAACGCTGCCATAGCGTGTGCGCAGGGTAGTCTTTTTGTCTTCTACTGAAACTAATACCAAACCAATCAAGTGGTTGTTCATCGAAACAAAGCTTTGGACGTCATTGATCACATGCTTCTGATAAAGTGACAGAGGCACCGGCACACTGCTTCGAAGTAAACTGCTCCCGAGTGGCGCAGCAGTCACTACAGACCCCCTGGTTCGATTCCAGGCTGTATCTCAACCGGCCGTGATTGGGAGTCCCATAGGGCGGTGCACAATTGGCCCAGCGTAGACCGGGTTTGGACGGTGTAGGCTGTCATTGTAAATAAGAATTTGTTCTCAACTGACTTGCCTAGTTAAATAAAGAAAAAATTAACTGCTTAGGGATTTTGACACATGCCTCTGAGCTTCGGTATCAAACGTAACATCAATAGCTGTATTAGCGTAAAACTAGGCCCTCAAAATAAGGCCTCATGAAGAACGTACGGTATTGTGTTATTTAATAAATACAAAAATGTACATTCACTTAGAAAAAAAAGGTGCTAAGTACAACCATACAGGCTTCTTCGGTTGTCCCCTTTTTGGTTCTGGATGGAATAATTTGCAAAGGGTCCTATCTAGAACCCTCTATGGTAGGGTTCTTCAAAGAACCACCTGTATATGGTTCTACCTAGAACCCTCTATGAAGGGTTCTACCATTTTACGTTTGTTACCTGGTTATTTAAACATCATTATTTTGCCTGTGATCTCCTTATTTGCAGCCACCCTGGAATGTGTGAAAGTGGACATGATGCAAAATGAGAACAAGATGGACCACCACTGTCACTTGTATGGAGGCAAAGACGACATTCTCATCATCCGTAGGGCCCAGGAGTTTAAGATGACCCTCCATTTCAACCAGCCCGTAAATCCCATTGACAAATTCCAGATTGAGTTTTACATTGGTAAGAACACATTTTCCACCAATATACTATAAATTCCTTTCTGTTGGTTAAAAATGGCATTACATGCATTGTTTGACTGAGGGTGATGTATGAATTACAGTGTTCACCATTTGGTAATAGTTTAAATGAGAGGAGTTGGTGTTTCAGAGGCGAAGGTGCATCTCAATAATACAATTGTTCCTACCCTAGTCTCCTCTCCGTCATCTGTGTTTAGCCTCTGTAGCCAATTAGAACCACTAATTGATAAAAGTGCCAAGTTGAAACAAAAACAGATTATTGACATATTCCCATCTAAACATCTGTAACATCTGTTGATAGTAATCTTGGGGTGCCTCCCAATTCTCCACACTTCTCCCCAAGTCACTTCCCAATATGGATTTAGGGAGTTTCCACCATTGTTGAATCCATGAAAGAGCGTGCACACTTCAGAAGAAGGGTGTAGAATAGGGACGTGTCCAGGGTCTCTCTCACACATTATATTGAATGCTTACGTCATACTCACAGTGGAATTGATGAAAAAGGTTGCTGCTCTATGTGCTCGATTCAATCCATATTGCGGAAGTTCTGCGTTAAAGCGCGATTGAAATTTAAAGGTAATTTCCGATTGAGCTGGCAGTGTTTACTGTGAACGCAGTCTCCACAAACGTAGGAACATTGCCTTTAAATTTAAATGGCGCTATAGCACGGAACTTCTGCGATATGGATTGTATCGAGCCCTAGGCCCTTTAGTGTCAGCAATATGTCAACTAAGTACAATCAAAGCTGGAACGACAGCAGAGTGACCATTTTTTATCTTCAACTGACTTACCTTTTACTTATGCCTTGAAAAGGCTTTCATGCTCAATATATTTTTATCTCCCTGAATGTGGTGTTCTTCTCTTACATCTGCTGTGAAATTCTTAGTCTACTGTGTTCAAAAGGTTTTGAAAATAGGGAATAATAAAAATAAGCAGACAGAGCGCAATATTACACAAAATATCCTTTAGCCTACATTTATTGGATTTAAGTGAGAGGTTGCTTGATAATTGTGAGGCACTTCTAAAATAATGGTGCAAACGGACATGCATCATCCTTGTTGAAATTATGAAAGTGTTATGAAGATACAGTATGTGAATTGATTTATGTGCAGCTACAGCAGCTTACTAGTAGCAGCCTAGTAATCCATCTGCAGTTAATGGTTTGCAGTGGTGTAAAGTAACTAAGTAAAAAATACTTTGAAGTACTACTTAAGTACATTTTTTCCCTGAGTAGCTGTACTTTATTATTTATATTTTTGACAACTTTCGACTTTTACTCCACTATATTCCTAAAGAAAATAAGTACTTTTTACTCCCATACATTTTCCCTGACAGCCAAAATTACTTTTCGAATGCTCAGGCAGGACAGAAATATGGTCCATTTCACGTACCTATCAATGTAACGTGTTGTCATCCCTACTGCCTCTGATCTGATGGACTCACTAAACACAAATTCTGCATTTGTAAATTATGTGTGAGAGTTGGTGTGCTCCTGGTTATCCGTCAATTAAAAAAAACAAGAAAATGCCGTCTGGTTTGTTTAATATAAGGAATTTGATGTATAGCCTTTACTTTGTACTTTTACCCAAGTATGACGATTGAGTACTTGTTCCACTACTGATGGTTTGTTGAATTTCTGGTCCCCTTTATTGCAGTTGCACTGCACAGACTACCGCCTATCTTCTGTAATGTTGTGGTGATATTGAACAGACCTCGACTTGTGTTGGTTGATGTGCTGTTAACTCAACTGTTTTTTTTTACAGTACAGAAAATTATCAGGTATTTATAAAATAAATGTCATGGTAACACAGTAATTACACAGTACTAACTTGTGATTTACTTGCTTTGTTTCATCAAGACTCATTACAACAAGTAGCAACTTGGTACCATTTGTTACCAACTGAGGTTAATTATTTGACGAATGTACCAGAAAGTATCAGTTGTTACCACATAGTTTATATTGAATACTAAGCTAGTACCAGTGAAAACATGAGTGTCTACATGTGTTGACGTTTCCCCTGTCATGTCACCTTCTCCCTCAGGTATCGATGCCAACGTGTTGAATGGCACAAAGGTTATCGTCTCCTTTGACAGCTCGCAAAATGTGAATTGGACCGGCCGCATGATACAGCAACTAGGGGATGAGTGCGTGGTGGGAATCACCCCTTCCGCAAACGCCATCATCGGAAAGTACTACACGAATGTGGCGGTCATCGGTTCCAATGAAATCTCCAGGACACCAAAGGACACTGGAACAGACTTCTACCTCCTGTTCAACGCCTGGGCGTCCAGTGAGTGGAATCTATGTGGATTTTTGTTTGTCCTCTGAGGACCGCTTAAGATAAGATAAAAAACATATGCATTATACACCCCTTACGGGACAAACCAAATGATTTCACATGTGGAAAATCACATGAATTCACATGTGAAATTCCACATGTTAAATTATGTGAATCTATGTGTTTTTGGAACACTTAACGTGATGATATTTCACATGAAGTTTCACATGTGGATTTTTACGTGATCCCCTAACCTTTCACATGCGGATTCAAATAACGAGATTTCACAGGTGATGCCTCTGCAAACAAAAATGTGTCGTTAGGATACATACACAAACAGTGCTTTGAATATACTTCTCCCATGGGCAAAGACACTCAAAAGGGGTGATGATATTAATTGACAGTAATTTCGATCCGAATGTGCAAATTGTCCAAACAGATACGCAAGGTAGATGGATTATTTTAAATATGTTATTGGACCATGAACAGATATGGCTCATTAACCTTTACAGACCAAATAATGATGATCCACACTTCTTTGACAATATATATAATGAATTATCAACTCTGCAAGCAATTCAAGACTATTATTATGGTGGGAGATTATAATACCGTTTTAAATAGCTCAATGGACCGTAAAGGAAATCACACTACAAACAATTACCCTCATGCTCTTAAGGAAATCGTGAATGTCATGGATACATTAGAACTAGTAGATATATGGAGGCTTAAATATCCTGATCTAGTGAGATATACATGGCGGAGACTCAATCAAGCTAGTCGTCTTGACTACTTTCTTATGTCATTCTCGTTGGCACCAAAAGTTTTAAAAGTGTTGATAGGGGACAGAATGCGGTCGGACCATCATATAATTGGCATATACATTACTCTTACTGAATTTCCACGTGGGCGAGGATATTGGAAATTTTATCAAAGCCTATTGGATTATAACTTGTTTTTAACTAGGACAGAGGAATTTATAACAGATTTTTTTCCCCGACATAATATACGTACAGCAAATCCCCTTATTGTATGGGACACCTTTAAAATGTATCTTTAGAGGCCATGCAATTCAGTATTCATCTCGAAAACAAAAGCAATTTAGGTCAAAAGAGTCCACACTAACAAAGGAAATAGAAGGTCTAACAGAACAGATAGATAGCAATAAAAACCGTAACAGAGGAAAAACAAAAAGAAATGGAGAAACTTATTCAAGAAATATCAAGTGTAATGTATTATAAAACTTGATGGAATATGGGGAAAAATGCACCAAATTCTTTTTTAATCTTCAACGTAGGAATGCTACCAAAAATGTTTTATTGAAACTGGTTACAAATGACGGAGTCACCCATGATTCACCAAATTATATTTTGAAGTAGGAAATAAAGTACTTTAAGCATATGTTTTCGTTTCAGTCGCCTCCATCTCCTCTAACTATAGAAAATTGTAGAGATTTTTTTCTATTGATAATGTAAAATTAACAGCCATACAGAAAGACTAATGTGAAGGTGAAATTACAGAGGAGGAACTTCTGGGTGCAATTAAAGACTTTAAGTCTGGGAAAACTCCAGGGTTGGATGGCATACCAGTCGAGGTATACCAAACCTTTTTTGATATACTAAGAGGACCGTTATTAGCATGTTTTAACCACTCCTATGTAAATGGTAAATTATCAGACACTCAAGAAGGTCTGATTTCATTATTACTGAAACAGGATACAAGTGGAAAATATAAAAATCCAGTACATTTAAAAAAATTGGAGGCCTCTTACATTTCAGTGTTGTGATGCAAAAATTCTAGCAAAATGTATAGCGCATAGAATTAAAAAAGGTATTGTCGGACATTATTCATTCTAAATCAGACAGGTTTTTTACATGGGCAATACATTGGAGATAATATAAGGCAAGTACTGGAAACAATAGAACACTATGAAAAATCTGGGAAACCAGGCCTACTATTCATAGCAGACTTCGAAAAGGCATTTGATAAAGTACGACTCGGGTTTATATATAAATGCCTGGAGCATTTCAATTTTGGACAATCTCTTATCAATTGGGTTAAAATCATGTATAGTAACCCTAGGTGTAAAATAGTAAATAATGGTAATTTCTCAGAAAGTTTTAAACTGTCAAGTGGAGTGAAACAAGGTTGTCCACTATCGGCATATCTATTTATTATTGCCATCGAGATGTTAGCTATTAAAATCAGAACCAACAATAATATCAAGGGATTAGAAATCCAGGGCTTAAAAACAAAGGTGTTATTGTACGCTGATGATTCATGTTTTCTTTTAAATCCACAACTTGAATCCCTCCACAGCCTCATAGAGGATCTAGATACATTTTCTAACCACTCTGGATTACAACCAAATTATGATAAATGTACTATATTAGGTATTGGATCACTAAAAAATACAATTTTTACATTACATGTAGTTTACCAATAAAATGGTCTGATGGTGATGTGGATATACTCGGAATACATATCCCAAATGAAATAAATGATCTCACTCCAGTAAATTTTAATAGAAAGTTAGCAAAAATAGATAAGATCTTGCTACCTGTCAATTTGTGGAAAAATCACCCTGATTAAATCTTTAGTATTATCCCAGTTTACCTACAGTGAGGGAAAAAAGTATTTGATCCCCCTGCTGATGTTGTACGTTTGCCCACTGACAAAGAAATTATCAGTCTATAATTTTGATGGTAGGTTTATTTGAACAGTGAGAGACAGAATAACAACAAAAAAATCCAGAAAAACGCATGTCAAAAATGTTATAAATTGATTTGCATTTTAATGAGGGAAATTAGTATTTGACCCCCTCTCAATCAGAAAGATTTCTGGCTCCCAAGTGTCTTTTATACAGGTAACGAGCTGAGATTAGGAGCACAGTCTTAAAGGGAGTGCTCCTAATCGCAGCTTGTTACCTGTATAAAAAGACACCTGTCCACAGAAGCATTCAATCAATCAGATTCCAAACTCTCCACCATGGCCAAGACCAAAGAGCTCTCCAAGGATGTCAGGGACAAGATTGTAGACCTACACAAGGCTGGAATGGGCTACAAGACCATCGCCAAGCAGCTTGGTGAGAAGGTGACAACAGTTGGTGCGATTATTTGCAAATGGAGAAACACAAAAGAACTGTCAATCTCCCTCGACCTGGGGCTCCATGCAAGATCTCACCTCGTGGAGTTGCAATGATCATGAGAACAGTGAGGAATCAGCCCAGAACTACACGGGAGGATCTTGTCAATGATCTCAAGGCAGCTGGGACCATAGTCACTAAGAAAACAATTGGTAACACACTTCGCCGTGAAGGACTGAAATCCTGCAGCGCCCGCAAGGTCCCCCTGCTCAAGAAAGCACATATACAGGGCCGTCTGAAGTTTGCCAATGAACATCTGAATGATTCAGAGGAGAACTGGGTGAAAGTGTTGTGGTCAGATGAGACCAAAATCGAGCTCTTTGGCATCAACTCAACTCGCCGTGTTTGGAAGAGGAGGAATGCTGCCTATGACCCCAAGAACACCATCCCCACCGTCAAACAGGGTGGTGGAAACATTATGCTTTGGGGGTGTTTTTCTGCAAAGAGGACAGGACAACTTCATCTCATCAAAGGGACAATGGACGGGGCCATGTACCGTCAAATCTTGGGTGAGAACCTCCATCCCTCAGCAGGGGCATTGAAAATGGGTCGTGGATGGGTATTCCAGCATGACAATGACCCAAAACACACGGCCAAGGCAACAAAGGAGTGGCTCAAGAAGAAGCACATTAAGGTCCTGGAGTAGCCTAGCCAGTCTCCAGACCTTAATCCCATAGAAAATCTGTGGAGGGAGCTGAAGGTTCGAGTTGCCAAACGTCAGCCTCAAAACCTTAATGACTTGGAGAAGATCTGCAAAGAGGAGTGGAACAAAATCCCTCCTGAGATGTGTGCAAACTTGGTGTCCAACTACAAGAAACGTCTGACCTCTGTGATTGCCAACAAGGGTTTTGCCACCAAGTATTGTCATGTTTTGCAGAGGGGTCAAATACGTATTTCCCTCATTAAATTGCAAATCAATTTATAACATTTTTGACATGCGTTTTTCTGGATTTTGTTGTTGTTATTCTGTCTCTCACTGTTCAAATAAACCTACCATTAAAATTATAGACTGATCATGTCTTTGTCAGTGGGCAAACGTACAACATCAGCAGGGGATCAAATACTTTTTTCCCCTCACTGTATTTACTTATGGTCTTGCTTACGCCTAGCAAACAGTTTTTTAAAATTATGAGAAATATTCAATTTTATTTGGAACGGCAAGCCAGACAAAATTAATACGGGCCTATTTATATAATGAATATGAATTCAGAGGACAGAAATAATTAGATATTAAAGCATTAGACCCATCAATAAAAGCTTCAGTCATACAAAAGTTATAATTAAATCCGAACTGGTTCTCTAGCAAATTAGTAAGATTGTCTCATCCAATGTTCAAGAATGGCCTTTTTCCCTTTATTCAGATTACAACCTCTCACTTTCAGATATTTAAAAAGGAAATAATCTCCCAAATATCACTATTTCTAAAACAAGCCATAGAAAGTTGGTTGCAATTTCAATTTAATTGTCCAGAAACGACAGAACAAGTAATGTAACAAATATTGTGGTTAAACTCAAATATACAAATTATAGTCTTTGTAAATGATATCATCGGTAGGACTGGTGGAGTTGTCGCACATGCAGCTAACAAAAACATATGGAAATGTCTGCTCTACCCAAAATTACAACCAAATAATTGCAGCATTACCGCAAAAATGGAGAAGGAAAGTGGAAGGGTGGGGAAAGTAAGGAACTTGTCTGTCAGCCTTGCATTAAATAATATAATTGGTTAAAGAAAATTGTGATAAATAAAAAAGTATACCAGTTTCATTTAAGGACCAAAGGATTGACAGCCATCCCATATAGATTGCTAAATAGTTGGGAAGAGATTTGACGTACCGATTCCATGGCATAGTGTTTATGAATTGATACGCAAAATGACGCCGGATTCAAAAATGTAGAATTTTTCAATTTAAATTATTATATACAATTCTTGCTACCTATAGAATGTTATTTATATGGGGGATACAATCTTCCCAGCTCTGCAGATTTTGCTGCGAAGAGACAGAATCATTAGATCATTTGTTTTGGTACTGTCCATTTGTAGCTTGTTTTTGGACACAGGTCCAGGAATGGCTAAAGGATTGCAATATTTACCTGGAGCTAACCCTGCAGATAGCACTACTGGGTGATCTGAAAAGTCATATAGTCAATCGATCAATAATATAATAATACTTTTTGCAAAAATGTTTATTTTCAATTTACGATCTGTAGAAACATTGAAAATAGAAAGGTTCAGAACTTTTGTAAAACATCACAGTACAGTTGAAAAATATATGGCAAATAGAAGTCCAATATGGATGGTGTTAAGAGATAGATGGGAGGTGTTGAATGGAGCTGAAGGATGGACTAATAACAACAACAAGATAACTAATGTAAAGCATACTGTGTCCATAATAAGTATATAGGTTATAGGTTGAGAGCTTTTGTGAAAGAGCACAGTTAGAAAGATATGGCACATAGAATCAAACCAGATGGACATCATGAAAATGATCGGAGGAAGTTCAGGAGTAAAAACAAACAAATTATAATTATTGTAGAATTTGACTGTGTCCATAAAATGTGTATGGGCTGGAAGTAGAGGCCTAAGCGTTTACTCCAATTGGGGAAGGGGTGGTGGGGTTGGAAAGTAATGAAGGGAAATATATTTTAAAAAAGGATATATGTGTGTGTATATATATATATATATATATATATATATATATTTGCAAGAAGAAAAAAAACATATGGGAGATTGGAAGTGATGCAGACAATTACATTGATGGAAGTTACAATCTATCTGAAATATCCTCACCTGGGATATGAACTCACAACCTCTTAGTTGAAGGTATTCCAATCTTCCTGCTACGCCACCATGTCTGTGTCAATGACTGATTTCACCTGTATTGCAACACTTTGGACTTAAGTAAAGTAAATCTCAGCATTGTTAAAAATATTATATTTACAATAATAATATGCCCCACCAACATAAGACAACTAAACAGAAAACCCCTCACATCATCAATGATGAGAGAATAGTCAGATGGCACTCGTTTGTTAAGTGCAGAGATGTATTATAGGCAATGAATGTGTAGAGGAATGCTATTGACTTTGCGGCGCAGCAGAAAGATCAGCGTACCCCAAATCCAGAGGTTGTGAGTTCAAATCCCAGGTGGGGTCATTTTGAAAAGTCAGTACTAAGTGATCATGTCAAATGTAATCATATTGTCATTGTTTAAATACTTTTACACTATTTTAGCTGAACATTGTACCACTTACTTTGAAACCCCCATATTGTTTCATTCCCTTTACAAAAAAAAAGTGTGTGAAATCACATTTTTACTTGCGAAATAGCTGTTTTCACATGCTGAGGTGAAATTTTCACATGTAAAAAAAAAAAAAAAAAAAAAAAAAAAAAGACACACCATATGTGAAACTGCTAATTAAAACACTGCACCACCTATAGTTCATATTAACACCACCTTTTCACGAGGAAAATAACACTTCTTCACGTCACGTGAATTGAAGATTCTAACTCTCAAACGTGGAATTGCATTTTCACATGTGAAAAACTTTCACTTGAAAATCAAATTAGCATTCTTGCGTTGAAATTTTGCATCCCCATGTTGTCACATTCATGTCACAAGATCATGTTTTCACATGTGTAGTTTCATGTTATCACATGTTGCTTTTACATGTTGCCACAAGTTATCACATTAACTTCACATAAGAAACACATGTTATCAAGTGTAAATCATGTTGGTTTTTCTGTAAGGGACATTAATAAAATGAACACTGCCTAAATAGGTGTCAGACAACTATGGGACTGCTCAGTAACATCCCAGGGAATTCGCTGCCCCAATGCATGTGTCATTTTTAACATACTGTAATGCCCACTTTAGAGGATTCGGAGAGTGGAACATCCGCTATATGAAAGCTAAGACTTGGACAATAGTATTCAATGATGAACCCTTTTTTTCAATTTTTGCCTAAAATGACATACCCAATTCTAACTGCCTGTAGCTCAGGACCTGAAGCAAGGATATGCATATTCTTGATACCATTTGAAAGGAAACACTTTGAAATATGTGGAAATGTGAGGAGAATATAACACATTAGATCTGGTAAAATATATATATTTTTTTCCATCATCTTTGAAATGCAAGAGAAAGGACACAGTATAATATTGCAGTTTAGGCACAATTTAGATGTTGGCCACCAGATGGCAGCAGTGTGTGTGCAAAGTTTAAGATTGATCCAGTGAAGCATTGCAATACTGGACTATTTTGTATAAAGTCTGCCCAAATGTGCCGAATTGGTCAATTGATACATTTTCAAGTACATAACTATGGAGAACATACAAAAATGATATGGGAATACAAAATGTAAGTTTACACACCCAGGAATGTCATACATGATGGATCATTAGCTTATACACTAACTTTCACACATCTAGATGGCCGGGTGGGGTGGGTGTGGAGCCAGTTACAGCAGGGGTTCAAACTGTAAAACCCAGTTCCTACATTTGAATATAAAAATGGATTTTATCAAACAAAACTATGCTACATTTTATCTCTGGGACCCTTAGGATGACAAATCAGAGCAAGATTACTGAATGTAAGTACATTATTTACCTTCAGAGGTGAATGTATCAAACGTTTTTGTTGTTGTGCACTCTCCTCAAACAATAGCATGGTATTCTTTCACAGTAATAGCTACTGTAAATTGGACAGTGCAGTTAGATTAACAAGAATGTAAGCTTTCTGCCCATATAAGACATGTCTATGTCCTGGAAAGTTTGCTGTTACTTACAACAGTCATGCTAATCACATTAGCGCACGTTAGCTCAACAGTCCTGTATAGGGGACACCGATCCCGTAGAGGTTAACCAACCAAACCATCGAAGTCCACGAGGATCAGGTGCGGTCCGCATGCACACAGCAGGCCCACAGTCATATGGGAAACGCATCCCCAATGCCTCCTTCGGTCCCACATTCACAAGTCACTCACAAAAACAGTAGCCGGTAGCATAGTTCTCCCACGCAGCACACAGGTAGGCAGCTCCATCCATCCCATATGGATAACCAGCCGATCGGAGAGCAGAGTTCTCCCACTCGAGCGCGCCTCCATGCAGCCACATAGTTAGAATTGTTGTTGCATCCAAGTTGTAGAATCCAAGGCTCGAGACAGTCCAGAATGGCGGGAGAAACCCCATTCCCATTACGTCCACAAAGCAAAAGAAAGGTCCAATATGTGTAAAAGTCAGGGTAAAATGTACTTAGTTGGTAATGACGTTTCAGACATGGGTTCTAATAAAGCTAGCAGTGAGTGAGAGACAGCTGCCCACGCTCCTCTTCGTATGCTAACTCCACAGGGCTAGTAGTGGGCCTGGCTAGCATGTATGCAGCCTAGCGTGGTCACATCACTTAAGTCCAGCGATAACTTCCGAATACATAGGTTCCACAGACGTAAAAAACGCTCAAAAACACAGCTGCCACCAATGTAATGCGCCATTAGGAGGGTTTGGATAGTGGAACATCAGTTGTATGAAAACTAAGACTTGGACACCAGACAGTATACGGAGCTCAACTGGATGTGACTTCATTCCAGGACATGCGACCACCATCTCAATTAGTTCACGTGACAGGGATGCATTTTTAAACACAGGTCAGGCATTAGTAATAAATGATGAACATCCAATTCTCATATTTACAATGCTTATGGTCAATTATTTGGACAATTGAAGAATGTAGTCACATCTAAAGTAACAAATTACCAGATTCTGGTAATGAGGCTGCAATTTATTTATCATTTCTTTAGATGATGAAGTGTACATGCCCAACGAGGAAGACAGGGGGGAGTACGTGATGAACGACAATGGCTGCATATACCAAATGGAATCAGGGGGTGGAAGGCAATGGTTTTATGGTCAGGTACAGTAAAATACTACATACTCACGCCCCACGCACACACTGATCAGATGCTGCAATATACTGTATACTTTACACACACATTTACAGTTGTCAATATTGTTCCTTTTTTGAGGCTGGAGGCTCTATTTCTCTCTTGTAGTTTGAGGAAGGGATTCTCGATGCCTGTATCAAAATCTTGGATGACTCACACATGCCTCTAGAAAACAGAGGCGATGCTGTCAAAGTCTGCAGGATAGGAGCTGCAATGGTGAGTGATATTTGCAGATAACATAAGCACACTACATAAATTCCAAAATGAGCCCTAGTATAAGCACTGAGAAGAGCCAAGTGCTTTTCACAACCACAAGACATACCAAGCATTTAACCTGTACTTCAGTCTGCATCCACATAATGTGATTTGCAGTAGATACTGTACATATTGAATGAGATATTGCCTCATTTGCTTATTTTTATATAATATTTCAGGAAAAAGTGTTTTAAAAAAGGTGTATTGTGTCTACATTCAACTGGATGATTGTGATATGAATAAAGGAAAAATTGTCCCTGTTAGTGATGTGGTACCGGCCTTAATTAAACACACAATTTCGTTTTGCATGCTTTTATCAACTTACTCTGAACATTTAATTTCAAACTAACATATCCTTATGCCTGGGGCACTAATCTGTTTTTTTGGTCAATATTTTTCCATTCCTTGTGGAACCAGATGAACTCCCAAGATGACCACGGGGTCTTGGTGGGCAACTGGAGTGATGACTACTCCCTTGGCACTGCACCAACCTTCTGGATTGGCAGCGACAAGATCCTGCTCCAGTACGCCAACCAAGGGCCTGTCAGCTATGCCCAGTGCTGGGTCTATGCAGGGACATTCAACACCTGTGAGTGCCCCATAAAATACCCTTTTCATTTTCAAATTCAGTCAACTTTATTATGCCCACCCCACACCATTGGTCACGTCTTCCAAATCACCTGTGATTTGCACTGAGGGATTGATGGTCAATAGAAAACATGCCCATCCAGTTATAAACTGCAGTTTTCAACTAAGAAAAGGTTGCCTTTACAAAAATAAAATTGATTAGCTTTAATATTGCAGATGGATTGTGGCTTCCATCAATGTAATTGTCTGCATCATTTCCAATCTCCCATAATTATTTTTTGTAAATATATACATAAAATATACATAGTGTGGCAGATCAGGGGGTGTTGTCAAGACGTTTACACTGATCAGACCCAAGTGTGATAGCTTGGTTTCAAGGGTGTTTATTTAAATAATAAAGAAAGAGAATGGAATACCGTCTTCTGGGCTCCAGGGTAACAAACAGAGCTCCCTCCATTGTCTGGTCCTGAGCACGACTATACGGGAGCAACCTCTCTTCCCCAGTCCCAACCTCGCATGTGCTGCCCTTCTGGCAACTTTATGGGACACGTCCGGCTGGTGAGCAATCAGCCCCTTGATTACTCACCAACCTCAAATCAACCCTAATTAGTCCTGGCCGGAGAGCCCGTCAAGACCTGGCATGTCCAGCAGACAATTACATTGATGGAAGCCACAATCCATCTGCAATATTAAAGCTGATCAAATTTTTTTTTGTAAAGGCAACCTTTTCTTAGTTGAAAACTGCAGTTTATAACTGGATGGGCATGTTTTCTATTGACCATCAATCCCTCCAGCAGGTGGCTAACCTGTAGTATGCCACAATATATATTTGTACAAATATATTTTCCTTTATTATTTTCCCCTACCACCCCTCCACTAATTGGAGTAAACTAATGGACAACAACACTTAGGCTTCTACTTCCAGCTTATATATACTATATACATTTTACAGACACAGTATATTTTATAATAGCTATCTTTTGTTTGTTTTTAGTCCCATCCTTCAGCTACCCTCAACTATCTGAAGACCATCCAGTTTTGATTTCTATATGCCATATATTTTTCAACTGTGCTGTTTCACAAAAGTTCTGAACCTTTCTATTCTCATAGTTTCTACAGATTGTAAGTTAAATATAAAATGTTTTGCTAAGGGTATTATTATATTATTGATTTATTGACTATGGCTTTTTAAAAATCACCCAGCAGTGCTATTTGCAGAGTTAGTAATTCTTCAGCCATTCCTGAACCTGCGACCAAAAACAAGCTACAAATGGACAGTACCAAAACAAATTATCTAATTATTCTGTCTCTTTGCAGCAAAATCTGCAGAGCTGGGATAGTTGTATCCCCCATATATACAGTATTACATTCTATTGGTTGCAATAATTTTGTATAATAATTTAAATTGAAAAACTAAGTTTAGAATCCAGCGTCGTTTTGCATATCAGTACATAAACCATGTGCCATGCAATCGGTACATCAAAAATCTATTTTCAACTATTTTGCCATCTATATGCACAGCTCTAAATGAAACTGATATACTTTTTTTTATACATCACCATTTTCTTTAACCAATGTTGGTCTTTAACAAGTTCCGACAGACAAGTTCCTTACTTTCTCCCATTTCCACTTGCCTCTTCCATTTTTGCGGTGATGCTGCAATTAGTTGGTTGTAATTTTTAGAAGAGCAGACATTTCCATATATTTGTGTTAGCTGCATATGTGATAACTCCACCAGTCCAGTTAAACATTTTTCCAAATATATAATTGTTTTGATCAAATAGCATATTTGAGTTTAACCATAATATTTGTTCTGTATTTTCTGGTGGATTAAACTGAAATTGCTACCAACTTTATATTGCTTTTTTTAAAAATAGTGATATTTTGGAGATTATTTCATTTTCATATAACTGAAAGTGAGAGGTTGTAATCTGAATAAAGGGAAAAAGGCCATTCTTGAACATGGGGAGACATTCTTACTAAACTGCCAGAGAACCAGTATGGCTTTAAGTATACTGTAACTTTTGTATAACTGAAGCCTTTAGTGAGAGGTCTAATGCTTTAATATTGAATCATTTCTGCCCTCTGAATTAATATTCATTATATAAATAGGCCCGTTTAATTTTGTCTGGCTTGCCATTCCAAATAAAGTGGAATATTATTTGCTCATATAATTTCAAAAGCAAGTCGCTAGGTGAAGGCAAGGCCATAAGCAAATAAGTAAACTGGGATATGACTAAAGAGTTAATCAGGGAGATTTTTCCACAAATAGACAGGTATTTTCCTTTCCATGGTAGCAAGATCTTATCTATTTTTGTTAACTTTTTCTTAAGATTTATTGACGTGAGAATTTCTATGAATACCGAGTATGTCCACTTTACCGTCAGACCATTTTATTGATAAACTACACGGTAATGTAAAAGTTAAATTTTTTAGTGATCCAATAAGTAATATAGTACACTAATCATAATTTGGTTGTAATCCAGAGAGGTTAGGAAAATTATCTAGATCCTCTAAGAGGCTGTGGAGGGATCCAAATTGTGGATTTGAAAGAAAACATGAATCATCAGCGTACAATGCCATCTTTGTTTTTAAGTCCTGGAATTCTAGCCCCTTGATATTATTGTTGGATCGGATTTGAATAGCTAACATTTCGATGACCATCTTTTTTTACTCCTTTTGACGGTTTAATACTTTCTGAGAAGTAGCCATTATTTCATACCTAGGGTTACTATACATAACTTTAACCCATTGTATAAGAGATTCTCCAAAATTGAAATATTACAGGCATTTATACAGTGCCTTCGGAAAATATTCAGACCCCTTGACTTTTTCCAAATGTTGTTATGTTACAGCCTTATTCTAAAATTGATTGACACACAATAACCCATAATGACAAAGTAAAAAGGTTTTTAGAAATCTTTGCAAAGTTATAAAAAATATAAAAACATTGAAATATCACATTTACATAAGTATTCAGACCCTTTACTCAGTACTTAGTTGAAGCACCTTTGGCAGCGTTTACAGCATAGAGTCTTCTTGGGTATGATGCTACAAGCTTGGCACATCAGTATTTGGGGAATATCTCCCATTTTTCTCTGCAGATCCTCTCAAGCTCTGTCAGATTGGATGGGGAGTGTCGCTGCACAGCTATTTTCAGGTTTCTCCAGAGATGTTCGATCAGGTTCAAGTCCGGGCTCAATCCGGGCTCTGGCTGGGTCACTCAAGGACATACAGAGACTTGTCCTGAAGCCACTTCCGCGTTGTCTTGACTGTGTGCTTAGGGTTGTGGTCCTGTTGGAAGGTGAACCGTCGCCTCAGTCTGAGGTCCTGAGCACTCTGGAGTGGGTTCACACCCTTTGCTATGAGACTCGAAATTGAGCTCAGGTGCATCCGGTTTCCATTGATCCTCCTTGAGATGTTTCTACAACTTGATTGGAGTCCACCTGTGGTAAATTCAATTGATTGGACATGATTTGGAAAAGGCACACACGTGTCTATATAAGGTCCCACAGTTGAAAGTGCATCTCAGAGCAAAAACCAAGCCATGAGGTTGAAGGAATTGTCCGTAGAGCTCCGAGACAGGATTGTGTCAAGGCACAAATCTGGGGAAGGGTACCAAAACATATCTGCAGCATTGAAGGTCCCCAAGAACACAGTGGCCTCCATCATTCTTAAATGGAAGGAGTTTGGAACCACCAAGACTCTTCCTAGAGCTGGCCGCCCGGCCAAACTGAGAAGTCAGGGGAGTAGGGCCTTGGTCAGGGAGGTGACCAAGAACCCGATGGTCACTCTGACAGAGCTCCAGAGTTCCTCTGTGGAGATGGGCGAACCCTCCAGAAGGATAACCATCTCTGCAGCACTCCAGCAATCATGCCTTTATGGTAGAGTGGCCAGACGGAAGCCACTGCTCAGTAAAAAGGCACATGACAGCCCGCTTGGAGTTTGCCAAAAGGCACCTAAAGGACTCTCAGCCCATTAGAAAAGGTTCTCTGGTCTGATGAAACCAAGATTGAACTATTTGGCCTGAATGCCAAGCGTCACGTCTGGAGGAAACCAGGCACCGCTCATCACCTGGCCAATACCATCCCTACGGTGAAGTATGGTAGTGGCAGCATCATGCTGTGGGGATGTTTTTTAGCGGCAGGGACAGGGAGACTAGTCAGGATTGATGGAAAGATGAACGAAGCAAAGTAAGGAGAGATCCTTGATGAAAACCTGCTCCAGAGTGCTCAGGACCTCAGACTGGGTGGTGAAGGTTCATCTTCCAACAGGACAACGACCCTAAGCTCACAGCCAAGACAACGCAGGAGTGGCTTCGGGACAAGTCTCTGAATGTCCTTGAATGGCCCAGCCAGAGCCTGGACTTAAACCCGATCGAACATCTCTGGAGAGACCTGAAAATAGCTGTGCAGCGACGCTCCCCATTCAACCTGACAGAGCTTGAGAGGATCTGCAAAGAAGAATGGTAGAAACTCCCCAAATACAGTTGTGCCATGTTTGTAGCGTCATACCCAAGAAGACTCGAGGCTGTAATCGATGCCAAAGATGCTTCAAACAAAGTACTGAATAAATGGTCTGAATACTTATGTAAATGTGATTTACGTTTTTTAGCAAAAATTTCAAAAAATCTGTTTTTGCTTTGTCATTATGGGGTATTGTGTGTAGATTGATGAGATGCATTTATATGACTAAAATGTAAACATAAATATTTACTTAGTATGTTTGTAGCTTGTTAGGATCAAAATAAATATAAAGGAGCAAAGCCCAGATAAGAAGTTAGAGGAAAACCCACCTCAGTCTTCTGAAAACCTAACCCCTGGCATAGGGTTTTACTTCTCTGTGGGACAATTAAAATTGTTTTATGCAAAAGACACACCAGAATGAATTTCCAAGAGGTGTTGAGTGTTCCTGAGTGTCTAGTCTAAGTCCAGATTTAAATCTGCTTAAAACATCAGAGACAATGTTTATATATTGCTGTCCATTAATGATCCCCTACCAAATCTGCTGTGCTTGATCAATTTTGACAAACTATGGATATATGTTGCCCTAAGTGTTGCAAAGTTGAACTAAGAATTGGTTGAATGTTAATGAAAATAATTCAGAGCTTTAAAATCTGCCAAAGATGCTTCCATCAAGTATTATCTCAGGGGGGTGGAGATTCATCCAATTATGATATATGTTTTCATCCTATAGAGGCCATTTGTTTTCTAAGAGTCAGTCCCTTAGGGATATGAGTTATTTTGAGATGATTAGCATCTGTGCTATCTAGATTAGAACATGCTAACAGGAGTCCTACCATTCCCATTGTTTTGCATCCATAAATCAGTGGAGGCTCCTCAGAGGAGGAAAGGGAGGACCATCCTCCTCAGTGAATTACATTTTTTTTTATATATATAGTGAAACATTTTAAAAAAAAGTTATCATTTTTAGATAGAACTATACTAAATATATTCACATCACCAAATAATTGATTACAACACTGTTTTGCAATGAAGGTCTACAGTAGCCTCAGCAGCACTCTGTAGGGTAGCACCATGGCACAGCTAGCTTCTGTCCTCCTCTGGGTACATTGACTTCAATACAAAATCTAGGAGGCTCATGGTTCTCATCCCCCTCCATAGACTTACACAGTAATAATGACAACTTCTGGAGGACGTCCTCCAACCTATCAGAGGTGTTGCATCATGAACTGACATGTTGTCCACCAAATCAAAGGATCAGAGAATTAATCTAGAACTAAAAGCATAAGCTACAGCTAGCTAGCACTGCATTGCTAACATTTTTGAACAAATACATTTCTTCCAACATTAAGAAGAACCAAGAGAGAGAGAGAGCTAGCTATATTTGGTTGTATCTTCTTTACTTTCCCTTAGCTAGCAAATGCGGCTAGCTAGTTTAGCCTACTCATACACCTGGCTTAAACAGAGAGGGATGCTATGTTAGCTAGCTGGCTATGGCTATCCAACACTGGAACAATTCCAAGTCAAGGTAACCTTGATGTTTTATTAATTTATTTCCACTGGTGTAACTGCTAAACTGCTTTCTGACTGTACACTGTACTGCATGATTGTAACGGATTGACTAATGCGTTAGTTCTATTATTTCTAGTTGACTATGACAACTACAGTATGTAGGCTGTGTAACCGTTAGCGGTCATGATATGGTTTGGCTTGGAAAGTTATTTTTGCCTGGTCACAGACAGCTGATGTGTTGTGCACTGAAATCCACAAAGGAAGGGGAAAGGTAAGAGGAGGAGAGCGAATAGATAGTTGCGAGAAGGAATTATGTATACAAAAAGCAAAGCTTGCTGTTTTTATGTTGCTGCTATGAAAGTGAACTGTTTGCTTGTGATAACTGGTGTATTCATTCCGACGATTCTGTTAAAATGTTTCTTAAACGTAAGAAATCGGAACGAAATATTTGTCCAATAGAAACTCATTTGCAACTGTTGGACTAATGATTACACCCTAGATCAGCTAGATGCAGGCAAGAGTGCAAGGCGGTATTGAATGTGTAACTGACGGTCACCTTGATTACTCAAAATTCTCTCGACCTGTGCACCTATTTTGTAAACTTTCATTCATAGGTTAGGTTGTAGGAACTTCATGATGGGTACAGGGACAATTTTTGTATCATGTAGTAGCCTAAACCTATGGATGTTACATTGAGCTTGGTGAATGGAATATGAATGACAGTCATCCAATATGCTGTAATAGAAATAAGGCCATGCTCATAAAAAACTAAATAATCCTACCTCATCTTAAAACGGCACCAACAGCCACTGCCATAGATGCTAATGCTAAGCCATAGCTCGATATACAAATCTCGGTTTTCTGACTAGTCTGGCCCATAGGCCACTTTCTAGGTATGCATAAGATGTGGAAAATGTGTAATTAAGGTGAACAAACCCCAAAGCCCATTTCCCACTGACAGAAAAAAATAGGAAGCAGTTTCCTCACAAGGCCCGCTGCTGTGCAAATCAAACACTTCTGAATGTTATGTCCATAAATCCACTCTAATCAATTGATTGAATACATTCAATGTATTAGTTAAACATGTATTCCTGTTAACGACTGCATGTTAATTAATTTGTGCTTATTTTGAAGTGTTGCCTCTTTAACGGTGTCCCTTACCCTGCCCCAGTCCTGCGGTGTCTGGGCATCCCTGCCAGGGTGGTCAGCAACTTCAACTCCGCCCACGACAACACAGGGAACATAATCACGGATCTCATCTTCAACTCTGTGGGAAATCAACTTGAACTGAACGAGCGCCTTACCAGGGACTCAATCTGGTAGTTATATTTCTGCTTATCCATTTGTATTGAATGAAAATTAAATCCCAGAACGTAGGTTTCTATATCTTCAATATTTATTTCACTCTACGTACTGTAATAACAGTTTAGTCATAGCGTGGTGGGGGGTGAAATGGACTACATGTCCCTGTTATCTTTATATCACTGGGTCGTGCTCCAAAAAGAAAATGGTTGTGCAGGATGCCAGATAGTGTTCATTTCATGTTCATTTTTTATTTCACCTTTATTTAATCAGGTAAGACAGTTGAGAACAAGTTCTCATTTACTACTGCGACCTGGCCTAGATAAAGCAAAGCAGTGCGATAAAAAACAACAACACAGAGTTACATATGGGGTAAACAAAACATAGTCAAAAATACAACAGAAAAAATATAATAATAATAATACAGTGAGGGAAAAAAGTATTTGATCCCCTACTGATTTTGTAAGTTTGCCCACTGACAAAGAAATGATCAGTCTATCAATTTAATGGTAGGTTTATTTGAACAGTGAGAGACAGAATAACAACAAAAAAATCCAGAAAAACGCATGTAAAAAATGTTATAAATTGATTTGCATTTTAATGAGGGAAATAAGTATTTGACCCCTCTGCAAAACATGACTTAGTACTTGGTGGCAAAACCCTTGTTGGCAATCACAGAGGTCAGACGTTTCTTGTAGTTGGCCACCAGGTTTGCACACATCTCAGGAGGGATTTTGTCCCACTCCTCTTTGCAGATCTTCTCCAAGTCATTAAGGTTTCGAGGCTGACGTTTGGCAACTCGAACCTTCAGCTCCCTCCACAGATTTTCTATGGGATTAAGGTCTGGAGACTGGCTAGGCCACTCCAGGACCTTAATGTGCTTCTTCTTGAGCCACTCCTTTGTTGCCTTGGTCGTGTGTTTTGGGTCATTGTCATGCTGGAATACCCATCCACGACCCATTTTCAATGCCCTGGCTGAGGGAAGGAAGTTCTCACCCAAGATTTGACAGTACATGGCCCCGTCCATCGTCCCTTTGATGCGGTGAAGTTGTCCTGTCCCCTTAGCAGAAAAACACCCCCAAAGCATAATGTTTCCACCTCCATGTTTGACGGTGGGGATGGTGTTCTTGGGGTCATAGGCAGCATTCCTCCTCCTCCAAACACGGCGAGTTGAGTTGATGCCAAAGAGCTCCATTTTGGTCTCATCTGACCACAACACTTTCACCCAGTTCTCCTCTGAATCATTCAGATGTTCATTGGCAAACTTCAGACGGGCATGTATATGTGCTTTTTTGAGCAGGGGGACCTTGCGGGCGCTGCAGAATTTCAGTCTTTCACAGCGTAGTGTGTTACCAATTGTTTTCTTGGTGACTTTGGTCCCAGCTGCCTTGAGATCATTGACAAGATCCTCCCGTGTAGTTCTGGGCTGATTCCTCACCATTCTCATGATCATTGCAACTCCACGAGGTGAGATCTTGCATGGAGCCCCAGGTCGAGGGAGATTGACAGTTCTTTTGGGTTTTTTCCATTTGCGAATAGTCGCACCAACTGTTGTCACCTTCTCACCAAGCTGCTTGGCGATGGTCTTGTAGCCCATTCCAGCCTTGTGTAGGTCTACAATCTTGTCCTTGACATCCTTGGAGAGCTCGTTGGTCTTGGCCATGGTGGAGAGTTTGGAATCTGATTGATTGATTGCTTCTGTGGACAGGTGTATTTTATACAGGTAACAAAAACTGAGATTAGGAGCACTCCCTTTAAGAGTGTGCTCCTAATCTCAGCTCGTTACCTGTATAAAAGACACCTGGGAGCCAGAAATCTTTCTGACTGAGATGGGGTCAAATACTTATTTCCCTCATGAAAAAACAAATCAATGTATAATATTTTTGACATGCGTTTTTCTGGATTATTTTGTTGTTATTCTGTCTCTCACTGTTCAAATAAACCTACCATTAAAATTATAGACTGATCATTTCTTTGTCAGTGGGCAAACGTACAAAATCAGCAGGGGATCAAATACTTTTTTCCCTCACTGTATATATATATATATATATATATATATATATATATATATATATATATATATATATATATATATACACATACATACACACACACACACACACACACACACACATACACACATACACACAGTGTGTGCGAATGTAGTAAGTTAATGTAAGTAAGTTCATGAGTGGTGCAGGAAGCCAGCAAGTGTTTCTGAGTGGTGCAGGATGCCAGATAGTGTTTGTGAGAGGTGTACATTGTCTCCACAGGAACTACCATTGCTGGAACGAGGCTTACCTGTCCAGATCTGACCTCCCCGCAGACCAGGACTTAGGTGGCTGGCAGGTGGTGGATGCAACCCCCCAGGAAACCAGTGATGGTAAGAGAGAAAATAGGATGATGGGAGAGGGAGACCTAATTTTCACTTCTGTATACACATTTTGCAGGCTTAGAATGGGCTTCAAAATTGCATAATCAAATTAATGAAAACACTACCATTTTAAGATACAGTGTGTTCCATAATAATTTGCACCCTTGATAACCACTAGGCTAAATAAATAATACAAATACTGAGCTATATTGTATGCAAAAAAATAATAAATTGTTTTTTTATACTAATACAATTGCTCAGCGAAAAATATTTTGTTTAACAAGTAATACAAAACAATCTAAAAAAGATAGGGGTCAAAATTATTGCCACTCCTGTTTTCAATACTCTAGCACCCTCCCCTTGCAAGGATAACGACACTAAGCCTTTCAATGTTTTATGAGATTGGAGAACAAACACGTTGGGAGTGATCTTAGACCACCATTCCTCCATAAAGAATCTCTCCAGATCTTTGATATCTTTCATCTGCGCTTATGGACTGCCCTCTTCAATTCAAACCACAGGTTGATTTTGTGCTCAATTAACCATTTCTTTGTGGATTTTGATTAGTGCTTGGGATTATTATCTTGCTGGAAGATCCACTTGCGGCGAAGTGTCAGCCTTGTGGCAGAAGCAACCAGGTTTTTGCCTAAAATGTCCTGTTACTTGGTAAAGTTCATGATGCAATTGACCTAAACAAAGGCCCCAGGACCAGTGGAAGCAAAATAGTCCCAAAACATCAAAGATCCACCACCTTATTTTACCATATGTATGAGGCACTTTTCTACATATGCTTCTGTTTTTCAACACCAAACCTGGTGTGCGTGGCCAAAGAGCCTCATTTTCATGTCCGCTGACCACAGCACTGGTTCCAATCCATGTGCCAATGCTGTTTATTAAACTCCATGTGGTGCTACTGTATGGTCATATGACATGAGCAATTGTATTAGTATAATCAAATTTATATACACTGCTCAAAAAAATAAAAGGAACACTTAAACAACACATCCTAGATCTGAATGAATGAAATAATCTTATTAAATACTTTTCTTTACATAGTTGAATGTGCTGACAACAAAATCACACAAAAATTATCAATGGATATCAAATGTATCAACCCATGGAGATCTGGATTTGGAGTCACCCTCAAAATTAAAGTGGAAAACCACACTACAGGCTGATCCAACTTTGATGTAATGTCCTTAAAACAAGTCAAAATGAGGCTCAGTAGTGTGTGTGGCCTCCTCGTTCCCGAGTGGCGCAGTGGTCTAAGGCACTGCATTGCAGTGCTAGCTGTGCCACTAGATCCTGGTTCGAATCCAGGCTCTGTCGTAGCCGGCCGTGACCGGGAGACCCATAGGGCGGTGCACAATTGGCCCAGCGTCATCCAGGGTAGGGGAGGGAATGGCCGGCAGGGATGTAGCTCAGTTTGTAGAGCAACGCCAGGGTTGTGGGTTCGATTCCCACGGGGGGCCAGTATGCAAAATAAAATAAAATAAAATTATGCACTCACTAACTGTAAGTCGCTCTGGATAAGAGCGTCTGCTAAATGACTAAAATGTAAAATGTAAATGACCTCCCTACAATGCCTGGGCATGCTCCTGATGAAGTGGCGGATGGTCTCCTGAGGGATCTCCTCCCAGACCTGGACTAAAGCATCCGCCCGTCTGTGGTGCAACGTGGCGTTGGTGGATGGAGCGAGACATGATGTCCCAGATGTGCTCAATTGGATTCAGGTCTGGGGAACGGGCGGTCCATAGCATCAATGCCTTCCTCTTGCAGGAACTGCTGACACACTCCAGCCACATGAGGTCTAGCATTGTCTTGCAGTAGGAGGAACCCAGGGCCAACCGCACCAGTATATGGTCTCACAAGGGGTCTGAGGATCTCATCTCGGTACCTAATGGCAGTCAGGCTACCTCTGGCGAGCACATGAAGGGCTGTGCAGCCCCCCAAAGAAATGCCACCCCACACCATGACTGACCCACCGCCAAACCGGTCATGCTGGAGGATGTTGCAGGCAGCAGAACGTTCTCCACGGCGTCTCCAGACTCTGTCACGTCTGTCACGTGCTCAGTGTGAACCTGCTCTCATCTGTGAAGAGCACAGGGTGCCAGTGGCGAATTTGCCAATCTTGGTGTTCTCTGGCAAATGCCAAACGTCCTGCACGGTGTTGGGCTGTAAGCACAATCCCCACCTGTGGACGTCGGGCCCTCATACCACCCTCATGGAGTCTGTTTCTGACCGTTTGAGCAGACACATGCATATTTGTGGCTTGCTGGAGGTCATTTTGCAGGGCTCTGGCAGTGCTCCTCCTGCTCCTCCTTGCACAAAGGCGGAGGTAGCAGTCCTGCTGCTGGGTTGTTGCCCTCCTACGGCCTCCTCCACGTCTCCTGATGTACTGGCCTGTCTCCTGGTAGCGCCCCCATGCTCTGGACACTACGCTGACAGACACAGCAAACCTTCTTGCCACAGCTCGCATTGATTTGCCATCCTGGATGAGCTGCACTACCTGAGCCACTTGTGTGGGTTGTAGACTCCGTCTCATGCTACCACTAGAGTGAAATAACCGCCAGCATTCAAAAGTGACCAAAACATCAGCCAGGAAGCATAGGAATTGAGAAGTGGTCTGTGGTCACCACCTGCAAAACCAGTCCTTTATTGGGGGTGTCTTGCTAATTGCCTATAATTTCCACCTGTTGTCTATTCCATTTGCACAACAGCATGTGAAATGTATTGTCAATCAGTGTTGCTTGCTAAGTGGACAGTTTGATTTCACAGAAGTGTGATTGACTTGGAGTTACATTGTGTTGTTTAAGTGTTCCCTTTATTTTTTTGAGCAGTATATATTTTTTATACAATATACAGTAGCTCAGTGTTTGTATTAGAATCATTTATTTTATACAGTCTTTTTTGCTCATCTTTATCAAGGGTACCAATATTTATGGACCCCACTGTATGTGAAGGTTTTGATTCCAAAATGTGATAAACGCAAATGTTTTCACATTTGCATTTATTCATCTGAAATGAATGCTCTTGGGCCCTTTCTATGTTTATGAATTATGGCTGTTCTCATACTTTTAAAACATTTACTGTAGATGTGCTTTAGAATGTGTTTTGTTGCAAAATATGATATCCTACACACTTCACGCTATATCCAGAGCCACATGTTTAGAGAGTTGGGACATTGAGGTTTCTGCATTATGATGCATTCACATAGCACTACAACATTTAAAATGGCAGCCATGTTAGCTCCTGAATGAGCATTATGTAATAGTCCCAGTCAGTATTAGATAGAACGTTGCTGCCCTACCCGCCTGTGGGGAAAACAACCTGTGGTTACCCAATTGGCTCACAACAAAAACTTCACTTTTTTCAAACGCAATTTTCTTGTTGTCTGCTTGTTTTAGTCAATTACAAAACTACCTTTAAGAAAAGCACAACATGTCTAAAGATTACTTTTCAACATTGGGCGTTGTCACTACTTAGAAAAAATTTAATATTGTAGGGCTTCCCTCATGCCCCTTTTAATGGCGGTGCTAGCAGCAATTTGAGAGACTAGTTAAGCTTGCCAAGACCAACAACACAAACAAACGGACTATACAGCTACAAGTAGTGAGTGGAGTTACAAATGGACTATACTAATCAAGTTAAATGTCTTACCTGTGAATAAATATTTTCCACACACAGCTCCCCACATTTCCAACTCTCCCATGCCAAATAGCCTGAAGCCACAGGGCTCTTCTCTTCTATATCCCTACCTGGGACCATTGGGAACCACAGGTCGGGATTTTTGGCCTGGTTACATGTACATTGAACAACACAGCAGCATTTCGTCTGTCACGACTTCCGCCGAGGCTGCCTACCCTCCTTGTTCGGGCAGGTTTCGGCGTTCGTTTTCACCGGTTTACTACCTACTGCCGCTCCCATTCTCATCACTCCACTTGTCTTGTCTTGTCAATCACACACACCTGTTGCTCATCCCCTAATTAGTCTGTGTATAAGTGTTCCCTCTGCCCCCTTGTCTTTGTGAGTGATTGTTCTATGTGGGAGGAGAGTAGCTCGGTTGAGATTCTCTCTCATTTATTTAGCTAGTGTTGATTTTCCCCTGTGTCATTAAATGTATTGTATTTTCTGAGACTCTGTTTGGTCAGGGAGGATTGTTTCCCCTGTACCTGTTTCGATTGCCGTTGTAGGCGCATTGTATGTCTGGAAGGAATACATCTGAATCCAGTTATTTTACTCCTGCGCCTGACTCCGTCCAACATTCACCACATCGTCATATTTTGTTGTTTCTGTATAACAAAAAAAATAGATGGCAAAGTTTGCTTTTTTAAAATGGGGGTCAATTGGAAGGAATGTTTGTTTTCCCCAATTTGTGGGCGTGGTCAAGGGGAATTCCTTATTATTTCTTGAATATCATCTCAGAGTATCAACTAGGGGCTATGCGTTCTATGGAAAATAATGAACGACGTGGAAGGTGTGTTCCACGACGCATTAGCAGAGTGGAACTAACCTTCCACAGAGTTGCGTTATGAGTCCCAAGTTGATTATCCCTCTTATACCAAGGCTATAATTGAAATGTGTTCAACATCCTCTTAAGTAGCTAGCAAGTTCACTATATAGTGTAGCTACATGAGTAGTTGCCTTGGTAACCAAACAAACACACTTGCTATCTTGGCTAACCAAACAATCAATCCTAGCTTGCAATTATGAAAATCTAATTCCATTGATGCACGCCCACTTCCACTTTTAAGCTCCATCAGCCCAGCGACTTCCTGTGTACCACCTGACGCGATCTTCTGTACTGACAGCTGTCAAAACACAGTAAACACGAAATGTCTATCTACACCCGTTGCCTTCAAGACCTCCCCCGTATTACGGTGAACAATGTTCCGTATCGTGAGAGCATCAGCTGTTGCTTCAAAAACGTAAAAAGAGAATGGATGTACATATCGAGTTACATCGACAACTACGAGGGTGAGTATTCTCAACTAGCTAGCTAGCTGCAAGCTTTCAGTCTCTCAGCTTGACTAACGTTTTCAATTTATCTTGCTAGCTATACTTTAGATCATATTCTTAGTTATCTATCTAGATGGGTTAAAACTACCCATTTGTTATTAGGTCAGTTCCCCTTGATTTTGATATTGATGAGCAGAATTTTTTTCTAAAAGGATAAGTTTCTATTTATTTGTATTTCTCAGTTTCCAATAAAGATCAGGTGACAATAGAGATCAGCGTGAGGGCGACTTGTTACAGGTCAATGAGGAAATCTGAAAAGCCACACAGTTTGAGAGTAGGATGAACAGAGTAAGCACAAAGCTTTACTTTTCTGGTTGTTATAAACAAGTTCCTGTGGATTCATAAGTGTCTTAAAATAATGGTGAGGCTACTTGGAAATGGATTCTAGTGTTGTCAACATAGTACAGTTTAACGGTCATATTCAAAATAATTGACTTGTGAATTTAGGATAGGCTCCCCAGAAACTAGTTTGAGGATATTTTTCTTTGTGTTGTCATTCTGTTTCTATTGTTCTTGACTTACATTTGAACAGCACTGTTATTGAAATAATTATTGTTTTATCCTTTCATTATCTTCACAGATTGTGTTAAAGGACTCACTCCCTGTCATCCTGGCCCACTGTTCCTGTGTTGCTGGGACTACTTTGTGCAACCACACAGTTGAACTGCTCTACCAGACAGCCCACTACTCACAACTTTGGATTGGTGCGGTTCCCCCTGTCCATAGTTGCACTGAAAGTGACCAGAGGTGGCACAAGCCAAGAACAATGGTAAGGCTTTGTGGATGGTTATCGAAAGCTAATATGAATAATATAAATGAGTGATGTGAATGTGTTGTTCTTAGTGCCCCTTGGTATTCCTAGGGTGTGAAGCCAGGCCCTGTTAACAGGATAGTGGTCCTGTCAGCAAGACCCAAAGAGACTGGCTGAGTGAGGTAAAATGTTGAGCATTTATCATAACCTGAGCTAGTCTTTGACAACTGCTTTACAATTAAATAAATACATTTGATTGTGTAGCCAATATGCCTCAGTTACAAGAGCTACATGAGCTTATGCCAATCCAGAAACAATCCCTAGTGGTCCCTACACTCTAGACCCTTGTGTAGATCCAAAAGGGATAGGTAAAAGCAAGATGGCGACAATTCCACCCAGCCAATAAAACAAAATAAATTGTTGTTTGTCCCAAGTAAAGTCGAATTTTTTGTCTCATATAGAAGGTTGTAGTGCAGCATCTGAATATCATAGAGACAAACCAAAGATATACCATATGCATCGGTCACGTATTTCCCCGGTATTTTACAGTTTGTTTCTAACATAAAGCATTGCGGACTAAAGTGTCGTTATAGACCGCTTTATATAATCAGGTCAATTTTTTTATGTTTTAATCTTAAGATAACAAGGGGTAGGCCTATGCTTTTAGCATTTTATTTAACAATAGCCACAATACCCTCAGATACCCCCCAATTCGAGCCCTTGTTTTAACTTAACACACCAAGCTCTTCACTGACACTGAGATATTTAAGGGGTGCATGGTGACCAGGGTTGAATAGCGGGAACCGGGTTAACAAGATTTACCGAAAATTCCCACCCAAACCCACTCCCTTTTCCAGGAATAAATAACTCTAAGAAACTGGTAAATTATAATACATTATTTCTATGAACAGCATGACATGAAATGGAACTGTTAAATTATATGCAATGTCTAAATCTGGCTTCTCTAAGGCCTTTTCTCAGCTATCTGCATGATCAATCATCAACGCTCAGGATGCGGACAGACAGCTCATCTCAGTATGGAGCGCAGTTATGCATAATAGGCTAATGACTTATAGCCTCTGTCTCTTGCGCAATATGCACCTGTGCTCAGCTGGCCTCTCTCCTTAAAAAATGCTCCTTAGCTCTTGGAGTCCCAGGAAAAGCTAAACTAGAATAGCTTGCTGGACATTTTTCTTTAGCATTTCTTATACTAATAGACTATTTGAAGAGGGATGCAAACTCTTGTTTGCTGAATGTTAAATACAGCAGCCCATAGAACCCACGGGTAGTTTGAAAGAACAGAGAATGCGCAATTGCGGTAGACTATAGCAGTTATTTATTCAGACCATGATGTTTCAATCTTCCTGAAGAGGAGTGAAAGCCATCTGCATCTTATTCTAGTCCTATATTATTCAAGCATGTCATTAGAATGATGATGATAAGGACATCAAAATGTATTTAAATTAACTGTTGAAAGCGAGAAAGGAATGAAGCAACAATAGAGAGAAAAAGGAGGTAGGCTAATAACATTAGGGGAAATATTATGAACGGTACTGTATATACGCGTCAGCCTACTACTTATACAAATGTAAAATAGGCCCTATTATATTTCAAAATTAAAATCAAATTCACTAGCCTATAATTGTAACTTTGTAGGCCGCATGTCCTGCACTAGTATGGCATGTTCTATCCCAGCTTCATGGTTTGCGCGAGGTGCATAATTACAGTCCATATAATACAGTATAAAACAATACAGTCCAGTGATACAGTCCACACTCAAAAATATTACTGGAGCTTCTTTCATTTATTTACCCAAGAGAACATAGCTACATCTATGGGCTTTTGTGTTTTTCTGTCATGCGTAATGTGCGGTAGCCTATATATCATGGGTTATGCATTGGATAACAGCACAATCATTTGGGCTTTTTTGGGGCTTGGGCTCATAGAATATCTTTAATGTAGGGCTCATAAAATGTATTTAATATATGGCTCATCAGGTTCAGGTAGCACCAGGCTTGAATTTTCATGCCGATCAAAGCTCTATTCAAATCCAGACATATTTCTAAGCTTTTGAATGACACTTCCAGTTTTGGTGGGAAATACTGGGTTACCTGGCAGAAAAGTGAATTATTCTTGGGATGGAACATGTGTACTGGGAAAATATTCAACGCTAATGGTGACTGAAAGAATTGGCTGACAAAATCTATGGATAGTAGACTATAATTCCATCTGTCAAACGGGTAGGCCTACCTCTTATTTCTTGAATAGGAAGAAATAGGCTTCTTGTTGTTAGTAGCCTAAAGTCAAATTAAAATTAAAACTGTTTAAATGAATTAGGCCTTCTCGAATTAGCCTACTTTCTGCACCCATGTGCTGTACATCTCCGCGGCTACCGCTACAAAGTAATGTAAGTTATGTAAATTTCTCGAAAATGACTTATTGTGAGGTCAATAACTCTGATAAATAGCTTCATCAGGGGCAACGAAACATATTGTTTTTTATTAAAATCAATTATAGCAATAGCAAGCTTACCTTCAGTCCTCCTTTTCATCTTCATGCTCTCCTTCTCAAACTCAATCAACAGGAGATCCGTAGGCCCAGTCCGTGCACACAGATATTGCATTTTTTAAACAAATTGACTCACCTCCTGAAGTACACAGCAGTCATTGGTTAGGCAGCACAAAAGGGTTAACATCAGCAAGAGCAGGGCTGACCTGGGCTCATGGTTGGGAACGCCTATCCATTGCAGTGTGTACTGCAGTTTTATATACACCATCCCAGCAGCGCAAAAACTCAGGAAAGAAGTACATTTTCTTAGAAATATAACTTTGCCCTGTGCTTCTCCGAGCATGCTCTTTGTATAACTTGGGCCTATAGCCTATAGCAGGGTTACCCAACTGGTGGCCCGCGGGTGGTTTTATTTGGCACTTTCATTGTTGTACATAAAACATTTTTAAAATACCAGGATATCAGCTCCCAGTGATTTTCATTTGGGAAATTTGTACCCAATTAACTCCACATATAATAGAGAGACACGTGATCATATACAAATGTAAGCAAGGTTTGAAATTATTATGTCTTAGTCAAATATTATATCTGCTTGGGCTTCTTGCGGTCAATTTGCAGTCTACAAATTATTTTGATTCGGCCAACACATTTATGTAGTTGATGATCCCTGGCCTATAGTATAGGCTATGGATCATTTTATTGAGACCACTCTAGATGCACTTGATATTGTGCGCCCAGCAGAGAATCAGAGATGATGGGCAGCATCAGGCACACATGAGATACTATAATAAGCAACTCATTCTCAAACCCTGAGAAATATGACATTTCATTGATTACAAATGACATGACCCTCCCCTGGACTAAATACAAAAATTTATACTAAACCCTCCCCCTGACTGAAATTGAAAAAGCATGACACTCCCCCATTTTCCTCCAGGTAACTATTGTATACATTTCAATCTCTCCCTAAAAGAAAAAAATGGGTTCTACTCTTTTAAATTATGTAAAACTATAGGATCACATTGTGTTATTATAGCCATGTTTGCCCTTTCATTTCGGATTATGGCGAAGATGGAGCTGGAGGAATGTAAATTCATAATCGTCTGATTCTAACTTGAACACCTACGTTGCGTGCTTTATTGCCAGCCAGACAATAAACGGGGCACTCGCCTGAACCCGATGGTCCTGTGTATGCGTATCAGTCAAGAATCGAGTGGTTACATAGGATAGGCAAGTTGGTAAAACGGTCGTTCACGAACTCGAACTGTGTATGTTTTTGTTCTACAAAGCTGTGTCCATCATAACGTTCAATAATCAATTAATTGCAGTCATTCTTCCACCATGCGATCAATTATCAGTTCTAAACATGTATTTTTCTTCTCTATGCTCATTATCTATTTCCCTGCTAGCAAATGACAGACAGTTGGTGTTCGGAGCACATCTCTGGAGCCGCTGAGCCGGAGGAGCGTGTATTAATCCTGCTGTAGGACTCATTGCGGCCAGCACTAGCAGGTCAAACAAACGACTAAAATAAACAAGTCATTCAGAAAAACGAATTGTGACTCTCGAGTCAGTAAAAATAGTTGTTCACAGAGAACGAATCATTCGCAAACTGCACAGTACTTATTGGCGGGTCAATTGTGTCATTTGAAAGTCTTGATATTACTGCTATAGTCAGGTTTAGTGCTAGGATTCAGGAATGTGGTTTGGTGTGTCATAAGCTATTACTGAAGCATGACACTTGATATGCATGGAAAAAAATGTGAATATTACATTATTGGTTAAAGTTATTACACTATTCATGAATATTTGTTGTTGTTGCCACTTCATCATTTTATAATAACACAATGTAATCATTATTAATTATACGCAGAAACGGTATTACGTTATGCGTTCAGCATATTTATTACATTATTGGCAATTTATTATATTATCAGCATTTATTACATTATAAATGCAAAAGTTATTACATTATTAGCAGCTATTACAATATTGGCATTTTATTACATTATCAGTTGCTACAGGCCCTATGACTGACATAATTTATTTGTCTTTATCACAGGAATACCATTTATAGGGGGGTGGGGGTTCTGACTTCTCTGTCCTCCAAGTGGCAGAGGTGTACAGGGACTTCGTCAACGCTACAGCCCCTTTGGTCACTACAATGGACATGTCCACTGAGGTCCCATTTAGTGGATTCTGACATCCAGGCAGGGAACATCTTGGCATACCAGCAGCCTGCTACAACAACTTGCAACATCACTTCACAATGAAGATGCCCCCCCTTCACAACCTCTGCCATTTGATGGTTACAGCCTTGACCCAGCTGTGTAGTCGTTTGTCCATAGTGAGCATGAATTCCTACACATGGGCTGGCAACTACACTGGAAACGACCCACAAAGTTGAGTGCTACGAGAGAGCAGAGCTTATCGCTGGAGTGGCATCACCTTCGCAAGCCACGGATAACCTCCTCCCGCTTCAGAGAGGTCTGCCATGTGAGGGTGCAGAGTTCTGCAGAACACCTGGCTGACAGAATCCTCAGGGGAACTTATCTGTCTGCAGAGATGAAGAGAGGTCTGGAGATGGACTCTTCTGCTGTGGAGGAATACCGTTTTTTCCAGAATGTCAACTATTACCCCTGAGGATTTCTTATCCACCCAGATGCCCCTTGGCTTGGGGCATCTCCTGATGGGCTCATCTATGACCCCACAAAGCGTCCATCATTTGAGAGAGAGTGCCCAAATGTCAAGAGCTACGTGGTCTGCCCTTACCTCAAGGCCCAGAATGGTACACCAGCATGCAAACCACTGGCAGGTGCAAGGTCAGATGCTGATCTCAGGGTTGGAGTGGTGTTATTTTTGTGGTGTATGCCCAGGAGGACATGCTGATCCAGCGCATCCACAGAGATCGGCAAGTTTGGGAAGCAATCAGAGAGAAGGTTAACCATTTCTTTTTTTACTCTTACTTGCAGAGATGCCTAACGATCTCCTCTGTGAAATGTATGCAAATGTATAATTTACATTTAAATAAATATATAACTTTTTTCCAGAGATGACTTGTTGAAATATTAATTACAAATGTCCGTTGTGCCTTCTTGTTGTTTCTCTCTAATGATTTTTTATCTTACAAGCTAAAACACCCTTTGTACATCTTCACCATATCTGTGATTATTTCAGCAGATGTTTCCTGATGTTATGAATTATAAGGCTTTAGATTATGAAAACAGTTGATAACTGTTTTATCCCCCTGAATCCAACAATGTAGTTAAAATGATAGTGATGTCAAATGTTTTGGGGAAACATGTTGGTTTGTTAGTGAGAACACTGGACAAAATCGTAGAGTGCAGGCCTACATAATGGAATTTATATTCAAGAGAGGTTCTGAATGTAGCTGTTAAACACAGGCTATAGACTTTCAACAATGAACATAAACTGAAGCAGAAACACAAACAGGGAAATCAGTTACCAGTCTAATAGTATTGAAATTGACAGCTTCACTAGTCCTTTGACCAGGGGCCCATTCTGGTAGTTAATGAGGAGGTAGGCAACGGTGTAGAGCTGGTTGATGCTCCCAGCGATGGAGAGAGGGATGACGGTGTCAAACAGCTTGTGCTCCTTCAATCTACGAATCAGCCGCTACACGGGGACCATCAGCCGAGATGTATTGCGTCTCCCTGACTTCTGCTGCTGGCATCTGCGCTCTCTTTCAGAGGAAAGCTGATCAAAAGGCCTTGCAGGGCACACAGTCGTCCACAAGGAAACCTTTGTCCACCATTATGGCCATCCCTGGTTTCAGCAGAGAAACGATGTCGGACTGCTTCAGGATCTCCTTGTCACTGACAGAGCCTCCATATAGGGCTGAAACAAAGAAATGTGTTAAGAAAGTTGCCCCATGTTGTCACAATGCAGCTCACAGTCTGCTGGTGGATGTTGAATCTGTGGGCCAGATCCCTCTGCTTCAGACCCAGTGAAAGATGAGTCATGAAAAGGAAAAACGTGTCTATGGGCTGCAGGGATTGTGAATGTTGGGGGAAAAAACTGATTATGGTGCATTGCTATGCAAAATGATAACTAAAATGATCAGCCCTACAGATTGCAGATAAATATGGTAATTATAAATCAGAATTACAGCATCGCATCTGTTTGCTAGAGACCTTTGTGAGTCATCAGTGTCCAGAAAAGGAGTCTCCGTCGAAGGTTGGGGGTCATCCAGCAGGACAACGACCCAAAACACACATCAGAAAGCACCCAGGAATGGTTCAAGAAGAAAATACAGACTATTTTGGAGTGGACAGTATTGAGTCCAGATCTGAATCCCATCGAAAAGCTATGGCGAGAACTGAAAACAGCACTTGGTGGAAGACATCCCTAAAATATTGCGGAATTGGAGCAGTTTGCAGCTGAGGATTTTTTTTTGGGGGGGGGGTGCAGCAAGCTCATTGATGGCTACAAGAAGCGTTTGTTGACAGTTATCTTGGCCAAAGGCTGTGCAACCAGGTATTAGCTCTTGGATGGTAATAATTTTGTCTATGTCATTTCACCAAAGATTTTTTTCAATTTCAACTTATTTTAGAAGAAATTGGGAATTACAGTGGGGAAAAAAAGTATTTAATCAGCCACCAATTGTGCAAGTTCTCCCACTTAAAAAGATGAGAGGCCTGTAATTTTCATCATAGCTACACGTCAACTATGACATTTACATTTACATTTTAGTCATTTAGCAGACGCTCTTATCCAGAGCGACTTACAGTTAGTGAATACATATTTTTTTAATACTGGCCCCCTGTGGGAATCGAACCCACAACCCTGGCGTTGCAAACGCCATGCTCTATCAACTGAGCTACATCCCTGCCGGCCATTCCCTCCCCTACCCTGGACGAATTGTGCGCCGCCCATGAGTCTCCCGGTCGCGGCCGGCGGCGACAGAGCCTGGATTCGAACCAGGATCTCTAGTGACACAGCTAGCACTGCGATGCAGTGCCTTAGACCACTGCGCCACTTAAAATTAATAAAATGAAGAAAATGGCTCTGAAAAGCATTGATTGAAAATGATCGCTAAGTTATTTAACAACATCCAGATTCTCCTGGCTAGCATTTTTGGAGAATGTAGCAATGCCCTGATAACTAATACAATCTGTTTCCAATAGCATTTCTATATTCTGAAAAAATGCTAGCCAATATATGCTAGACAATGCTAAATAACCAGCTAACGACATATCAAAACGGGTTGGATGAAACAACAGCTCCCTAGGGAAGTAGAAAATAAGCTATTATAAAAAAAAAAGTGTACTATCCCTTTAAAAGTCAAACAGACAGGGTCATGGGTTGTTGATATTGTTTTTGCAGGATATTACCGCTGTGGACCTTGCTCTGTCAAAGCCATCAAGGAAGGAATGCTCAGCTATCAATTTGATGCCCCGTTTGTGTTTGCTGAGGTAAAACAATAATAATACATCTTCTTTATGCTTGACCAGTAACACTTTGTTGAATACCTTCATTGTCAATCTATGCCACTATGAAGCATAACACAGTTAAGCTTTATTACTTGCAATGCATTTTATTTAATTAAAATCAGTCTTAATATTCGCATGTATCTATTTATTTTAACCTCAGGTGAATAGCGACGTTCACAAATACAAGCTAAATCCACAAACTGGGAAAACTGAGTTACTAAGCGTGGACACAACCTATGTCGGCAGGAAAGTCGTGACGAAGTCCATTGGTGGAAACAATTATGAGCCAATGGACATTACAGAGACGTACAAATACCCAGAAGGTATGTGGCACCTGGACAATGGAGTAGGCTGGCAAGGGTGCAACTGCACGTTTAAAGTTTGTTATTGGCAGTTTGTAAAATGTCTCATGAAACTAATGCAACAAGAATGAAGTATAGAAATGACTTTGCTATTACTGCTTTTCAAATTACTTAGCAAAAATGTAAACCCAACATGGAACTATTTGAACGATTTTACTGAGTTACAGTTCATATAAGGACATTTGTCAATTGAAATAAATGTATTAGGTCCTAATCTATGGATTCCAAATGCCTGGGCAGTGGTGCAGCCATGGGTGGGCCTGGGAGGGCATAGGTCCACCCATTTGGGAGCCAGGCCCACCCACTGGGGAGCCAGGCCCAGCCAATCAGAATGAGTTTTTCCCCACAAAAGGGCTTTATTACAGACAGAAATACTCCTCAGTTTCATCAGCTGTCAGGGTGGCTGGTCTCAGAAGAAGCCGGATGTGGAGGTCCTGGGCTGTGGAGGTCCTGGGCTATACAGTATATATATTCCTATAGGTGAAATAAAATTGCCAATGAGTTTCATATCAGTCCCATGGTTGTTTTTTTAAGGAGTGGGGCAGTCCCACTCCTCTCTTATTTTTTTGTCTATTGTATTTGATAGAGAGAGAGAAAAGATAAAATAGCAGTGGGCCGGATTCAAACCGTTGCTGCAGCGATATATGTGTTCCGAAGAGAGCGGTTTAGATCACTAGACCACTCTAGACCACCAGTCCCATGTTAACTCTATTCCCCTCCATCTCCCCACACACGCACAGGCAGCGATAAGGATAAAGAGACCATGAAGAAAGCAGAGAGAACCAACAAGCTACGTATGCAAGACGACGACGAGCAGGAGATCCCACAGGCTAACGTGGAGATGACGCTGGAGACACCAGTGGAGCCGGTGATGATTGGCCATGACTTCCAGATGGCTGTGGTCTTCAGGAACCTGAGTGAAGACACACGCACCATCCATGGCTTCCTGGTGGGCTCCACGGTGTACTACACCAACATCCAAAGAGCTCAGTTCAAGCAGGAGAGCTTTGACATCACTCTGAACCCCATGGAGAGTGAGTGGAAACTGGGGTGACCCTTTACATACGTACTGTACTGTATGTCTTTTTGGGCTTGAGAATGTCTCCATGTATCACAACTTTGTACGATAGTCCTGCAAAGCTTTCAGACCACTCCTCTGAAATAAAATCCTCAACTGCTAATAGAAAATGCTTTACAGTCCTTTTACAGCTTTACGGTACCGTCCTGTTACAGCAGGTATGTGTGTATGTATTGTATTGTAAGATATTGTGAGGTAATGATGGGATACTCTCTAGTACTTACATCAAAAGACTTTACAGGTAACAACCTGGTACCAAATGGTAAGCAACGGTGAATCCCAAATTATCAAAATATTAATTATCAGGTAATTATTCTAAAAGTTATGTGCTGCCAAAAATGTACTCCTGTTGTTGATTGAATTTGTTTCATTGTCAAAACTCTGTCTCCGTGTAACCAACAGCGTCGAGGGTAGAGGTGGTCGTACTGGCCCAGAAGTACATGCCCCAGCTGGGTTGCTTGTCCAATCTGCGCTTCGTGGTGACGGCCAAGAGCATGGAGAACAACCAGGACATGACGGCCATGCAGATAGTGAACCTGGAAGGCCCCGAGCTGCTCTTTTCGGTGGGTCTGGAAGTTCCATTAGTCCCCTTTATTAGGATGTATTTCCTTATTCCCTTAAAGGGATAGTTCGCCCAAATAAGAAAAATACCTTTTGGTTTCCTTACCTTGTCAGCAGTAATTTGGTGACAGTGGCCAGGTAAACAAAACCAAATCATGGATTGCTCTCTTATGTTTTTCCATAGACTGCTGACATGGAAAGAAAAAATGTCATTTTGTAATTTGGGTGAACTATCCCTTCAAGTGTTCTGTAAAAGTATATCTGAAATATATTTAGTTTTTCCCCAAGAGCTAATGTAAATTAGTAGTGTACCCAATTGAAGCCTTATTTGTGCTGCTGGAGTGCTGCATCTCTCCTCGCCTTTGATCAAGCAGCCATTCCAAAAACCATCCATGCAGCCAACGCAGGAGAGTTGATTATCCCTAGATGATTATAATTTCTTATATCACCATAGATTGTTGTGAATGGACTATCTCTATTTGAACAGATGAGTGGACCAGCGCAAGTGAACCAGGAGGTATTTGTCAAGGTGGAGTTCACCAACCCGTTCCCATTCAGCCTGCGTGACGTGAGGATGGCCATGCAAGGGCCTAATTTCATGTCATACCGGGAAAAGTTGTACAGGTAACAGGATTTACAACTCCAAGATCTCACATCATGATGATGCTCATACTTCCATTAGTATATTTAGTATGCCAATCTGTGTGTGTGTGTGTGTGTGTGTGTGTGTGTGTGTGTGTTTGTAGTGAGATCGCTACCGGCGCCTCCATCTCCTGGATGGAGTCATGTGTCCCTACGAGGTCTGTGAAAACAATGATCTATGCTGTCCTGGACTGCTCGGTCCTTGGGAATGTCCAAGGCAATTGGGCCATCTGCATCCAGGCCTGATCATTGCGCAGGGAAGCCGCTCCCACCTGCTAATCACCTGCCATCGACCGGAGAACCATGCACGAATAGAGGCTCTTGTGTAGATCTGAAAGGATTTGATTGGTGAATAAGAAATTCCACCTAGCCTATGAGAGTGCGAGGGCAAGCAAATAACATATCCCTTACGGAAAAAAAACATGATTTCACAGGTGAAATGTCCACCTGTGAAATGATGTGAAGCCATGTGTTTTTGGAACGCTGAAGTTTCACATGTGTATTTTACATGTGATCACATGACCTTTCACGTGAATATTTTTCAAATGAGATTTCACAGATGATGCCCTGCAAACAAAATTGAGTCGTTAGGATACACACAAACAGTGCTTTTAACATAGTGTTTTCAACGTACATATTTGACACACATGATTACATTGTGTATGTTTATTTATACAGTAATTATTATTCAACATGTCCTCACCTGGGTTTTGATCTCACAAACTCTTGGTTCACGGCATCCCGACCTTCCTGCTACACCACCAAGTCGGTGTCAATTACAGATTTCACCTGTATTCCTACACTTTGGGTTTAAGTAATGTAAATATCAGCTTGTTAAAAATTCAATCAAGGAAAATTATTTTATTAAATAAGTATATGAAATGTATAAGTATATGAAATCTATGATGAGATAATAATCGGATTAACTAAAATAGAAGTGCAGATGGCAGTCTTTTGCTAACTGCAGAGATGTGAAACACATGTTAGCACATGTGAAATGTATGTGATTTTTCTGTAAGGGATTTCTTACACCGATAAGATTTTTTCCAGAAATGCCTAGGGCTAGGGGCTAAGAGTTGATTTGGAATTGGGCAGAAGCGGAAGGGCCAAACCGCAACAAGCGCATCAGTTTATCTTATTATTTCTTCTGCAATGCCAAATATCAATCAAATCAATGTATTTTCAGGCATTGGTGACACTTAAAGTTGAAGGGCACCTACATAAGGACTTCATAACACATTCATTAGCCATATATGCTACATTCATAATCAGTAGAACTGCAAGCTGACGTTTTTGTTATGTCACAGTATCCCTTCACTAGTGTTACCAAAGTCTCTCAGGGACCAAAATGTTTAAAAGTTATGATCCATGTGAATATGATGCATAGAGTTTTTTATGCATTCTAATTAGATGGCATTTATATCTCAGGGATTTAATTTGGTTTCGAATGAGCCGACTCAGATTCGGTTTCTGTTATTTTCGATCTTACAAACCTTTGACTGTACATTTCTCACACAATCATGACCTTCAATCTAATCAACAGTCCAGTGTTATCTGCAGTAGATTTAATCAAGCAGAAAAGGTACTGCATTTAAAGAAGCTATGCGTATTTGGGAAACATGATTTTTTATTTATTTGGACTGGGATTTTGGTTGCAAAAACTTTGCACATCACCCAACTATTAACGTTAGATAAATAATTTGACATCAGATTTAAAAGTATAATGTAAAAAAAAACAACACACCATGTAAAATCCATATGTGGGCACCATTCCTCAGTTATTTTGTTTGATCGTTTTTTGTATAACCAGTAATATTGGAAAACCATAATTTTAGGCTTTGAGTCAAACTAAATATTTTAATTCACTGCCATTAACTGTTTATAACATTTCAGCTATGCACTGCTTTTGATTAACAATAAAATCATTTTCAAAAACAATACTGTTGTCACACCATTACATTTTTTGTAATCATTTAATATTTTAAAACATTTCCGGATGGGGTGGGTTAAAGTAAACAGGCCACTGTAACTGCCAATATCATTGTTATGTTCACTGGTCCCGTTTCATTCAAAAATTATTTCTAATACACCTTACAAACACTCCAACCTTTTTATTTAAAAAAAACGGTATTGCGCATAGTGCTAGAAAACATTCAGACCATCTACAAGACATTGGTTCCATATTAACCACTGTAAATTAATTTGAGGAAGCTCTAAAAACTATTCATTAAAATAAGCACAATAATAGCTGACTTTTACTTCAGTCTTAAATCAGTAACATTATAGCAGGCTGGGATGAGATCCTATTAGACCGAGTTCATCAGTCTCTGATGTTTCAGGCACAGGTTTTATATCTATGGTTCCAGGTGATACCTTTATTTTACCAGGGAAGACATATTGAGGCCTGGATCTCTTTTTCAAATGTGCCCTGCACAATACAACACAAAAACACACACACACATATATACAGTGGGGGAAAAAAGTATTTAGTCAGCCACCAATTGTGCAAGTTCTCCCACTTAAAAAGATGAGAGAGGCCTGTAATTTTCATCATAGGTACACGTCAACTATGACAGACAAAATGAGAAAAGAAAATCCAGAAAATCACATTGTAGGATTTTTAATGAATTTATTTGCAAATTATGGTGGAAAATAAGTATTTGGTCAATAACAGAAGTTTCTCAATACTTTGTTATATACCCTTTGTTGGCAATGACACAGGTCAAACGTTTTCTGTAAGTCTTCACAAGGTTTTCACACACTGTTGCTGGTATTTTGGCCCATTCCTCCATGCAGATCTCCTCTAGAGCAGTGATGTTTTGGGTCTGTCGCTGGGCAACACAGACTTTCAACTCCCTCCAAAGATTTTCTATGGGGTTGAGATCTGGAGACTGGCTAGGCCACTCCAGGACCTTGAAATGCTTCTTACGAAGCCACTCCTTCGTTGCCCGGGCGGTGTGTTTGGGATCATTGTCATGCTGAAAGACGCAGCCACGTTTCATCTTCAATGCCCTTGCTGATGGAAGGAGGTTTTCACTCAAAATCTCACGATACATGGCCCCATTCATTTTTTCCTTTACACGGATCAGTCGTCCTGGTCGCTTTGCAGAATGACAGCCCCAAAGCATGATGTTTCCACCCCCATGCTTCACAGTAGGTATGGTGTTCTTTGGATGCAACTCAGCATTCTTTGTCCTCCAAACACGACTAGTTGAGTTTTTACCAAAAAGTTATATTTTGGTTTCATCTGACCATATGACATTCTCCCAATCCTCTTCTGGATCATCCAAATGCACTCTAGCAAACTTCAGACGGGCCTGGACATGTACTGGCTTAAGCAGGGGGACACGTCTGGCACTGCAGGATTTGAGTCCCTGGCGGCGTAGTGTGTTACTGATGGTAGGCTTTGTTACTTTGGTCCCAGCTCTCTGCAGGTCATTCACTAGGTCCCCCCGTGTGGTTCTGGGATTTTTGCTCACCGTTCTTGTGATAATTTTGACCCCACGGGGTGAGATCTTGCGTGGAGCCCCAGATCGAGGGAGATTATCAGTGGTCTTGTATGTCTTCCATTTTCTAATAATTGCTCCCACAGTTGATTTCTTCAAACCAAGCTGCTTACCTATTGCAGATTCAGTCTTCCCAGCCTGGTGCAGGTCTACAATTTTGTTTCTGGTGTCCTTTGACAGCTCTTTGGTCTTGGCCATAGTGGAGTTTGGAGTGTGACTGTTTGAGGTTGTGGACAGGTGTCTTTTATACTGATAACAAGTTCAACCAGGTGCCATTAATGCAGGTAACGAGTGGAGGACAGAGGAGCCTCTTAAAGAAGAAGTTACAGGTCTGTGAGAGACAGACATCTTGCTTGTTTGTAGGTGACCAAATACTTATTTTCCACCATAATTTGCAAATAAATTCATAAAAAATCCTACAATGTGATTTTCTGGATTTCTTTTTCTCATTTTGTCTGTCATAGTTGACGTGTACCTATGATGAAAATTACAGGCCTCTCTCATCTTTTTAAGTGGGAGAACTTGCACAATTGGTGGCTGACTAAATACTTTTTTTCCCCACTGTATGAGTTTCTTCGTCTTTTTACGCCAATAACAAATTAACTACACACTGTACCAACACAGAACCCTCGAATATACACCCTTTAGCGATTGTTTTAATGCGGCGTGATACAAAGTTGGACTATTCCTAAACATCATTTGTGCTCTCGCCCATATATACTGCCAATTTTAATATGTTACCTAATGTCCACTGTCTTTGATTCTCACAAGGATTATCCAACCCCAAAATCGGCTCCACTTCCATCGCCATGTAAAATTATCTGGGTATTGTTGCTGGACCTATGTTCAAAGACATACAGTTCCAGTCAAAAGTTTGGACACACCTACTCATTTAAGGGTTTTTCTTTATTTTTACTATTTTCTACATTGTCGAATAATAGTGAAGACATCAATACTATGAAATAACACATATGGAATCATGTAGTAATCAAAAAAGTGTTAAACAAATCAAAATGTATTTTATATTTGATATTCTTCAAATAGCCACCCTTTGCCTTGATGACAACTTTGCACACTTGGCATTCTCTCAACCAGCTTCACCTGGAATGCTTTTCCAACAGTCTTGAAGGAGTTCCCACATATGCTGAGCACTTGTAGGATGATTTTCCTTCACTCTGCAGTCCGACTCATCCCAATCCATCTCAATTGGGTTGAAGTAGGGGGATTTTGGAGGCCAGGTCATCTGATGCAGCACTCCATTACTCTCCTTCTTGGTATCATAGCCATAACACAGACTGGAGGTGTGTTGGGTTATTGTCCTGTTGAAAAACAAATGATAGTCCGACTAAGCCCAAACCAGATGTGATGTCGTATCACTGCAGAATGCTGTGGTAGCCATGCTGGTTAAGAATGCCTTGAATTATAAATAATTCACAGACAGTGTCACCAGCAAAGCACCCCCACACCTTAACTCCTCCTCCTCCTCCATGCATTATGGTGGGAACTACACATGCGGAGAACATCCGTTCACTCACACCGCGTTTTACAAAGACGGCGGTTGGAATCAAAAATATCAAATTTGGACTCCAGACCAAAGGACACATTTCCACCAGTCTAATGTCCATTGCTCGTGTTTCTTGGCCCAAGCAGGTCTCTTCTTCATATTGGTGTCCTTTAGTAGTGGTTTCTTTGCAGCAATAGTGGTTTCTTTGCAGCAATTCGACCATGAAGGCCTGA